TTTTCTTGGCCAAAATATTAAATTAAACACCATTTAAGACTAGTAAAAATACTTTACTAGTTGTCGTAAATGACGCTATAAATACTTTATGTTAAAATTTTCAGTTTTAACTTTTATTATTAAACAAAAACTTAATTCCTATATCGGCACTTTTTTAGCTGCATATTGTTCGATAACAATAATTTGTTAAGTTAGGTTAAATTTAGAATCTTGATTTTGAAATATGCTATTAAGGCAATTTGTTTATACTTAATCGTTAGGAAGCAACAGCCTCAAACGCTAATTATTCTAACAAAATAATAATTTAGATTCATAAAAACATTAGAAATTTTGCAATTGCTTATAGATATTTAAATTTAGAAGAATATAATTACATAAAAAGAATTATTATATTATAATTAAAAAAATAATAAATATTCAGAATTACTAAATTTAAAACTACGTTATGAAACTAGGAGAATTTTAACTATTAACTGTCTATACTTTTCATTTAAGTTTTTATTTCCTCTGACTTATTCATTTTTTAATTTTTTCTTCTGCCTTTTTTTTGAAGTAGCTGGGGGGTATAATTTAGATGGCGAATTCTTATAAAAGTTCTGAAATGCAAAATAAACGTATTTCTGTTCTATTCACTGCGGTATATCGTCCCTCTATTTCACTTATAAATTCTTTGATGACACTTTTTGATTTTCTGTTGCATGCACACTTTGAAAAATGTTCTCAAATTCTTGACACACTTTCATCCATGCTGATGACGGAACAATTAGTCCTCCCTTAGATATGAGAGCACTTCGTAGAGTTAAAGCAATTTTAAAATCATTCTAATCGGCAATCCAAGCAAACGATTTATCATATTATCCTCATAATCTTGTTTTAAGAAATGTTTACTGCATATTCGATCATATTTAATATTAGCTGGGTCATTTCGTTTGCAATGTTGAAGCCATTCTTTACATAGTTGTTGATTTACTTTAGGGAACACGTGGAAAATTATATTTTTACCTTTTGTGTTTCTATCAGAATTTTTGTAAGTTGCAAAGGAACAAACTGGTATTTCATAAATAATTTAAAATTTTTGTAATTCACTTCATGAAACTGAGAAAAATCATTATAGGAAACGTCGTCGTCGCCACCGTCGTCGTCGTTGTTAATTTACGTCGCACAAGAGCTGCACAATGGGCTATTGGCGACGGTCTGGGAAACATCTTGGAGGATGATCCGAAGACATGCCATCACAATTTTGATCCTCTGCGGAGGGGATGGCACCCCCGCTTCGGTAGCCCGACGACCTGCGCGCGAAGTCGAGCACTTTACGGTAGCACAGTTTAACGAGGACCAATACCGCACACCCTCGGTCCCTAAACAGACTGATCCAAGTGGTCACCCATCCGTAGCCAGTGATGCTTGACTGCGGTGATCTGCTGGGAACCGTGTCTTAACGATCAGTCCATTGCGGGACCATTATAGGAACCAAGGAATGTCTTGGAATATGTCACAAAAAGGAATGCTCCAATATTAGTTGAAGCTAGTTAGACCGAACGCTTCGTTCTTGAAGTAAAAGCTCAAGCTTTTCTCCACTGTGAAAAAGATACCGTATGGTACCAGTTTCAGTTTACCACTTCGAAACTGAAATATTTGTTTCTTATTTTCCCACTTACTATTCTCTGTTCGATAGCTGTCTTCTTATGATAAATACAGACTTTTCACGGCCCCCTACTTTTTTAGTTTTGTTCTTGCACAAGTTTCTCACATAGGATTTAATACCATTAAGTTTTGTTACTTTGCATCCTAAGTATTCTAGTTACTAGCATTATAACAGTATCTAGCTATTGTACCATTAATTTGCACATTCAATCAACTAACTCAATCACGCTTAATAAATAAATGTATTTGATCTGAATCGAAATTAAGAGGATTAAAATTTGTTTTAAGTATTATAAGCTAACATTTTGCTTAAAAACTTTATTGTAATCACCTATGGGGACATTTTATTCAGCAGTATTTGGAAACCTTATCACATTTGCATGATAAACCTTCTTAGGATTTAAGTTTTAAAAAAAATTAAACAATGGTTTTAGTGCGTTAATTAAACTACAAAATAAAATAGCATTATTCTGATAAAAGAGGAGAAAGTTTTTATTGGTGAGGAATCTATTCTCTTTTCTTATCTATCTTCTTCATTGTTCCGATTGCAGAAAAAGCCATAAAGATTACCAAAGACAATTCAATCTTATAGCATTGTTACAAATTTATTATTTCGTTCTTCCCCAAATCTTGAAATAATATGCGGAACATATTTACGTTCTTTTATCTCCTTCGGCCTTGAAATATGAATTGGGCAGATAAGAGAAATCGATGACTGGTGAGATACATTGCATTCTATATATCTTCAAATATAAAATCCTACAACCCCAGAAAATCGAACCATGGTGGCACAGGGTATAGAGCGTTCGCCTTCCAATGAAGTGAACCGGGTTCGAATCCCAGAAATAGCTTGTCGATATGAATTCTGCACTTGACTCGCATCGACCACAATTCTCAGTGGCAGACTGATCATGGATTAGAGGCCCATTGCCGTCAGGCTAACCGTGAGAGGTTTTCCTGTCCATGTAACGCAAATGCGGATTTGTTCCATCAAAAAGTCCTCCATGAGGACAACATTTATCCCAATACTTGATCCAGAAGTTCCCTTGTCTTCCGGATTGAGTTCACAATTACAAAGCTGTGTAGTTGAACATTAGTAGTCGTAAACCCGAAACTGACTCGGCTTTTTAACGACGGTTATAACATAAAATAAAACACCTGACAATGTTCCTGATTTTTAAAGTCGAATTCTGCCAATTCGCCATAAAAAGAAATTTAAAAAAATTTTAAAAAAACATAAAAATGAGGAATTTAGAGAGTAATGTAATGATGTGTTCTAATGCTAGGAAGCTAAGGAAGAAAGGGCTTATGTAGTTTTAACAAATTTTAAAATTTTGAGCAGAATTTTGCAATTATTTAATTGTCATTTTTTTTATTTAGTCATTGAAACTAATTCTTAGCGAAATATATAGGGTAAACTAATCAGTGAAGAAACACTTAAGCTTCGCTTGGCTTTTAAAAAATCATATTAATTTCAAAATTCGTAATTTTAGTTAAATAACAGTGTCAACATATTTGTTACTAATTGCAAATTATGTAAAAAAAATTGTGGAGAACTTACATAATATTGTTTTAAAGTTTTGGAGGTTCAAATAACAAGCAGTAAGAAGATCAAGTGAAGGAACAGCTCTTATCAGTGAAGGAACACAAAATTTCCCAGTAAAGGAACACTTAATTTTGGTTATTTTTTAATGCGCTTATATGCCATAGAAATATCTGAAAACAAGCCTATTCTTGAAATTGTAACATGCAAATACTTGGAAAATGTTAACTTTTTTTTGTAATCATAAATTGAAAAGTAAAGTGTCAACATATTAACACATACTGTTCATTCACTGGGAAATCTATGCCCAGTAAAGAAACATGCTTGTTCCTTCACTGGTTAGAAGTTGTTTGTTGTATTTTTAACATACTTTTGATGCAAAACATCACTAAAGGTACAAGAAAATTAAAGTTTTTCTTTCTTTTTCATTAACTTAGAAAAAAACCCAGTAAAGGAACACTTGTTTCTTCACTGGTTTTTCATCGTTTGGAGATCCAGTGAATAAACACCCCCTTATCTCAGTACTTGATTATGCTATGATGCTTAAAAAAATAAAATAAAACGTAACTTCAGTAACTATATTTTGAATTCTTATTTTCACAGTGAGAAAAATGAAACTATTACATGCAATTAATTCCTCTTCAGACATATAAATGCAAAAACTCACCTTATATTTTTTCAAAGAAACAAGGTGTTGCGGAGATAATAACAAATTCAAAATTTTTTTCCAGAGAAGTCTATTTGACCAGGTAATCCGAAACATTGCTAGATGACTTCCTATTAATTTGGCAGTAAGCTATTGTTACCAATCAATCTAAAGAAAAACTTTTAAATTCTTATTTTAAGTCAATATATATGAAATGTTCCTTCACTGGTTGGTTTACCCTACTCATAATGATGAAAAATGATTTTATTATTCAATTTATGTTTCATTGACTTTTTTGCTTTATTTAAAATGTACTCCGCCGCATGTTAAGCTTTTTGATATACTTCAGTAGACACTGAATATAATTTTTTTTAAAAAGTACATTTAATAATAAATATTGATTTACTGTTCCATGCTAGTTCATATACATAATTTTCCGATTCTTTTATTGTATTTTGAAGATTTGTATGGGGTAAACTTGTTGACTCTTCAAAAAGTTTGTTCTTAAAAATGCAAGAAAATAATTCTTAACTGAAATAATTAATAGTTTATCTTTTAATGGTGACTGTAAAATTTTAAAAACTAACTTCATGACTCGCAATAATTGTAACAAATAACTCTAGTTTTACAACTTACAAAATAAATTTTATTATCTTTTTGTATTTGATTCTATTAGAGCAGTTAATACCTAAATGACCCAGAATAAACATTTTTTTTTTATTTTTGAAAACTACCCTCACCTTATTCTAAATCGCATAGTATTTGGATATTTTTAAATATTACCGTTAGGGTTTTCCAACTTTTTACTCCGGATTTCGAGAAAAATGCATGTCGAGAATCACCAGATAATAAAATTTCGCATATTAGTTACAAAGTATCCAGATAATAAAAACCTTAATACGATACACATTTTGTTTAACCTTTAAAATTCTCTTCTTGCTATTAGCTCTTAATACTTATAAAATATTGATATATTGAATTGTTTACTACTAATGTTTTCAACTTAGATTTCTTTGTTTTTTTCCTTACCTTGCAATAAAAAGTGTATTGACATTAACAATTGATGTATTCTTTATAATTCGGTTATAATTAGTTTTTTTTATATTAAATATTACTAATTACTATAAAACAATTAGTCTTAACGTTTAATTACTGTTTCTATTGCAGATGAATCCACAACATACCGTTCCCACTATAGATGATAATGGATTCTATCTTTGGGAAAGGTAAGAGGAAATTTAAATCAAAATCTTAGCGAAAGAGTAAACTGATTAAAAAAAATATGAAGCATATTTGATAGAATAAAATGCACAACATCGTAACATAAACGATATCACATATAAAGCTCTGTCGACGCAAAACTTGTAAGTTCTTATTACATTTCCCTTGCTTTCACAGTGCATTCGAATAAGTTACGCTTATGTTTCGAAACATATGTCTCTAAATTTGATTACTGAGGAGTTATTATTTAACCTGTATGCTAATGTTTCTTAAATTCAAGCAATGAGAAAAAATTTTAAATTAAATTTAGTCATTAATAATCTATTGTTGTAGGCCATTAAGTCAAGGGGTGCGATTTTTCTTGTTTTCCAGTGGCACAATCTATGGCCAAGAATTTGACTTCTGCCACACCCATTCGTCACATCCGTTTATAGGGTATACCCATTCATACATCCATAGATCATAATTTTGACCTGAACCAGAGATGATCAATCTCTAATTCAGTACCCCCAGAGGTAAAATTTGTTATGGGAAAATGGATTTTGTGACCCGACAGATCTAACGTGCACCAGTTGCACGGGGAGTCTTTGATCGGCTGAGTTCGAACTCCCGTTCAAATGGCAAACTGCCATTCAGGCTATTCGGGCCCATTAAAACTCTAATGATATATTTAATCTAATAATAATATATATTGTTGAAAATTCCTGTATTAATTATAGAGCACCTTGTGAATATTAAACATAAATTACATTTGCAATATTGGTTTAAATCGTGTTAATGCAATTCAGATTCAAATATTTCGTATGGGTATTTTAAACCTGATAGACGTGACGGAATTTACGTGCTGGCAACTAAAAGGAAATTTTAGAAGGAAAAAATACACCTTTTTTGAAACGTAAAGCTACAGTTCGCAATTTTGTTGCAACTTATGACTTTATTGGAAATCAATACATACACATTAGAGATGAGACTAGCTCGGATTCATGATCAAATTTTCATTAACTTCTTTGCTACAAACTTACTAACTACACTACTGTTTCTTTAATACACTACTGTTTTAAACAAACATTTGGTTCTCTTTTTAAGTATTAAAAATGAAAAATTTATGAGGTATAAAATTTGCAGCGCTTGTTCAGTTCTTTGACCTCGTGAGTCTAGCATTAATTCTCGAATGATTTATATTTAGCTTAATATTTTGATTTTTCATTTTTTCTCTTAATCATCTTGAAGTTTCAGTTGGCTCAATTTTTCTCTTCGCTTTTACTTTCGCAGGTTGGTGATAAAAAAGTTTTTATTCACTAATTTCTTTGTTTAGACATCAAAGTCCAACGAGATAAATTTGTCCTTAATCCAACGTATATCTTCAGGTTCGGGGCGGACTTAGGTTCTGAGTAATCCTATGTATCTCTGAGCAGGCGGATTCGGGCCTCTGAAAGAGAGTCCGAGCTCACCTTTAACAGCTTCCCTTACTAATTTTTGTAAGAAACAAATTCAAAACTTGGCTAACTTCTAATCACATATTCAGATTATTATTATTATAAGTACTTTGTTTTCAATGGCGGGCACTTGGAACTATTGTCCATTGGCCTCAGAAAGTGCCAGAACTGCTTACTCTCTTCTCGTTACCCAGTGGGCACCTGTGGTGAGAATGCTCTGAGCGGGATTCGAACCCGCAACCAACGGCTCCGCAGTCAGACGCGCTAACCACTCGGTCACTGGTCTCGCATTATTATAATTATTATTATTATTATTATTTTGCTTCCGGCCGAGTAAGAACGAGATGGAACAAAAAGTTCTGAAAAATTTTGCTACGCCCGAATTTTCTCGGGATAGTAAATATTTGCAATATATACATACCTGGGTCGTGATGGCTCAGGGGATAGAGCGTTCGACTTCCAATGAGGTGAACCAGGTTCGAATACGAATTCCGCATCCGGCTTGCACAGACCACAGTGCTTCTCCAGTGGTAGACGGATCATGGGTTAGAGTCCCCTTGAAATCAGGCTAACTGTGGGAGGTTTCCATGGTTTTCCTCTCCATGTAATGCAAATGCTGGTTACTTCCATCAAAAAGTCCTCCACGAAGGCTAATTTCTCCCACTACTCGATCCAGGATATCCCTTGTCTTCAGGATTGGATTCAGGATTACAAAGCTACCGAGTAGCATTAAACCCAAATAATTGTGTCGGTTGTTCAAAATATAAACATACCTGAGTTAACTCTGGATAATCGGGGAAGCTGTAAATACATACAATTATCATACAGAAAAATACAAATAAATATAAAATTACAAAGAAGAAAAAAACGGATATTTTTTAAGACCAAAAGGCTTTAAAAAGAGTTCAAAAAATTTTAAATTGCAACATTGAAATCTAAAGCCAAACATAATATACCAAATTTAGTTTTATCAAGTTGTTTACTTTTCCGTTATTTATTATATTCTATTTTTGTTTCATGGAATGTCAATTATTTCGCATAAAAAGTATTTACTGTAAATCAAGTTTTGTATGAAAATATGTACTTACTCTTTAACTTGAATAATTAATATGTTTGTTGTTTTTTAGTCGTGCTGTTTGCACATACCTTGTGAACAAATATTCTCCGGACAGTCCTTTATATCCCAAGGATCCAAAAGAAAGAGCCCTTGTCGACAGGCTGCTTTACTTCGATATTGGCACTCTCTATAAGGCTGAGCTTGAATACATGGTATGTATTCTAATATACATATCCTTTATATATCTAATAGATATACAGTATACTCTAATATGACTTTAATTAATCATCCACGACTGCCTGTAGTTTCGTTTTATTTCGTTGTCGAATTATACAAATATGCTTACAAAACAATATGAAAGCCTTAAACACGTCAGACAGAAATTTAATTTGTGATATCTTTTACTATATATATCATAGAATTATTTAAAAAAGATTACCGTTTTGTAGTTTTACCGGAATCCTAGACTTGAGGGCCTTTTTCGATAAATAAAGCGAACATTCGTTCGTGAAAAAGAAACAACTATATGGTGTTGCAAGAGCATTGGGTTTGATTGGTTCACAAAAATGGCGCATCTTAAGCTGACAAGCTCCCTACTCGCACCGAACGCATTGCTAGTTGAACAGAGTGCTAGTCCTAAGTGGTAGACAGATCATTTGTTAGAATCTGAGTGCCGTCAGGCTGATCGTGGGAGGTTTCCGTGTTTTTTCCTCTTTATGTAGCGCGAATGCGGGTTAGTATTTTTTCCAGTAGAGCAGTTCCCAATTCTTCTGGGTTGATTATAGTCGTAAGCTCAGTATTGGGTCGACTATTCACCGTCGGTTATGAAATAAATTATATTGGAACTTCGTTCCGACAGATGCTGAGTAACATTTAAATAAGTGGAAAAAGTAATCCTTAACAATATTTATTTTTCTATTAGTTTAAGAGGTTGCAAGTCAAACATATAAATATGCGTTATATTCAACATAGTAACAAGTATAAGAAAAATAAAGCACGAGAGATTAAAATATTTAAATCAAATCGGAATTTACTTTTAGTGCTAAGATAAAAATATACGAAGTCTTTATTCTAACTCAAAATCTTTTAAGGAAGAAAAAACATCAAAGCATTTTACGAAATTGAAGTAAAACAACCGTAAAATTAACAAAAATTTCATAAATTCGATTACAAATAATTAAAAAAAAACGATTAACCCAGCATGTAATTAGCATTTAATCTTGTTACCAGGGACTAATATAGGGGCCTTTATATCTATGTTGGTCCAGGGCCTTTATATCTATGTTGTTACCTTGGCAAGACGCTGTACCCATTTGCTTGGGAAGTGTTGCCATTTCGCCACCCTTGGAAAACTGTCCTTTTACATTCACTAAGTAAAAACTCTCTACGCTTCGCTGTAACTTTCACTCATATGATATTCTTCTTTTTTTTAGTATCCCATATTATTTTTGGGAAAGGCAGGAGATCCCGAAAAGAAGGAAGCTTATGAGAAGACCGTGGCGTTCTTAGAAGAATTCCTTTCCAAGACACCATACGTTGCGGGTGATCATCTGACTGTTGCTGACCTCTCCATCCTTGCAAGTCTAACTTTTGCAGAAGTAAGACAACTAAAATATACTTAATTATTCTTGAGTAGCTTAAATGTAATTAGTAGCTATAAAACGTTTTCGTTATACTAAAAGTGTTGTACAATATGCTCTATGCAATGTTGTACAATATTCAGTGCCCTTAATTCGTGTTTTTAGAATCCATGTCAAAAATGCTATGACAAAAAAAAAACTATGCACAATAGGGGTCTCAAATCAGAGTCTAAGCGAAGAAGTCACAAAAACGTAATTAAAATATGTTGCATCACTAGTGAATTGGCCATGATAGAAAATACCATAATCCAGTTTGATTGCCTGATGGGACATGGTGTTTCTAATAGTTACCTTTTCCACTTTTTTCCTGCAATCAAAGATATTTTGATGTTTTCATTTTCGCCTTCCTCGGTAATGATTTGTTAGATTTCGATGGCAGTTTTATTTTTAATTTTTCTTGTTTCGATTTCTAAATAGCGACAGCTTGTATTCACACTTTTTTTACTTCATTTTTGACAAGGATTCTAAAAAGGACGCTGATTACTGTGCACTGTTCAGAGAAGTGAGGATTTATTTTATTTAATAAACTTACATTTTTAATATCAGTTTTCTATATATACATCTATCTTTTATATAATATAACAAGAGAGTGAAATGATAACAAATAGCCAATCACAGAAGACTTGCGGTTAGTAACACACAAAACAGCCAATTAAAATTGAGAACGCATGTGTGTGAAAAGATAATAATTTTTAATAATGCTGTTGCTAAAATGCTACAACTAAACTTACCAGCTAAAGCTGAGTGGCGATTTTTATTTTATTTTGATTATGTTTAATGATGTTGTACCAGTTTCACATTGTTGTCCGCGCATTTTTATTGGCCTGAAAATCACGTGGTAGGATCCAGTTTTTCCTCAATCATTTCCATATTGTTTTGGTTGTCATCAGCATAAAACTAACAAAAGTCATAAAGGTATTGCTTTTCTATAAAGATTTTTGCATCCCTAATTTAAAGTTGTTTTCCTGTTCAACTATTATTACGTTTTTAATTCAATTTTTAGTTTAAAACTAAGAGAATAGTTGTATTTTTTATTAGTATTATAATGTAATTCTACTCTACATTTTAAGATAAAGTTAGCTAAGAAGGTAGTCAAATCTTATTAACCGTTTTACAATTATTATTGTTGTGCAAATAACGTTAATATACTGTAATAAGTTACAGTTAAAGAGATCTGTTAAGTGATTTAAAACTTAATGATCAGCTTCATGCACAATGAGATGCAAACAAAAATAGTATTTAATATGTCCGCCCATTTGGTAAGTGAGAATATTAAATTACGGTTGTGAACTCTTCAAATTTTTTTGAATGATATATTGTTATAACTATATATTGTTATAAAAATATAATTATTGTTTTAAAAAATGATTACTTAGAAAAATTTTTTCTGCTTACCAATATGTCTAAATATTTATAATGCTAACAGATAATAAGATTTTGGGGTGGGAAGCGAAGGCACAAGAGTAAGCAAACAGGATTTCTTTGAGTACATACATGTTAAGTGAATAATTTTAACTTTAGTAGAAAAACTGTCAGTATAAGAAACGACAATATATCAAATATGTTCAAAATGAAGATAAAACAAAGGAAAATTATAGACGTAAGGAGAAAAAAAGGGGGGGGGGATAATAATGAGAAAAAAATAACAAACAACTGATTAAAAAAAGAGGATGAAATTTTAAAAAAAAAACCGGAATGTAAAAGAAATAATCTTTTCATCAGCCCACACGATTATATCCGCAAAAAAGTGTGCTTTCTGATATTCTATCAATATAGCCAAAGCAAAATACATTAATACAATAGTGTGAGNGTACTTATATATATATATATATATATATTAATCTCACATGTCCGTCAAGAGCCAAAATTATTTAATTTTAGCTCTCAGTTTGGTTGTTAGGTCTTGGTGTAACAAGCATGCAATTCGTCTGTAATTCTGTGCAATTCAGTTGGTCTCAGTAATGCTCAACTTTAAATGGGATTTTTTATAGTTGTTTGCATTGTTTCAATTGTTATCGTACACGTTTTGACATATTTTTTATTCGTTAGTTTCATACTCTCATAGAAGTCAAATTTTAGTTAAAAAATGAGTAATAATACGATGTCATAATTAATAAATGTATTAACTTTAAAAGTAATTTTTTATTCGATATTTGTACTTCATTTACTAGTAGGTATTTAGTAAAAACTCTAGTTTTAGTAAATAAGTAAATCTACCGTAGAACCAAATCTTTAAAAGGTAGGCAATAGAATTTGCAAAATAATTAACTGTAATTGCCACAGAAAGACTATATTGAAAATGCTTTTGGAAACAGACCCGTTACTCGAATTAAATTATTACCTTTTAAATAACTTAATTGTAATGTAAGGAAATAAATTGAGCATAAATGCATTTTTTACTAATTTGAATTGAACATGAACAATTTTGTCTTATTTGTCTTCTCATCGAAGTTTTTAAGGAAAAGGAAAATATTCCAATGTAGAAGTACCGATTGTCCAAAAAGTGACCAGCGATTTTGAAATGTATCAATAATCAACTCTCCAAATCTAAATGCATAAACTTAATTAAAAAAAAAATAAAAAGAATTCTAAATTGAAAAAATAAATGTTTTTTTTTTTTTTTTAAATTATTAACAGGTTTTTTTGAAATATTATGATTAGAATGTTCTGATATGCAACAAGAAAGCGTTGCTTCGTTTTCTTAAGCCAGTAACGCAACCTGTTGTTAAATTTAGTGACTAATTTTGAAATATATAGTTTATTTAACAGAATTAGATCCTCTAAATTTTTGTCTTCTCACGATTTCCTGTTTTTCGAAGCTCTGTCAGTCCCGCAGTGGACTGGTAGTTAAGACACGGTTCCCAGCAGATCTCCGAAATCAAGCATCACTGGCTACGGTCAGTGTGCGGGTGGGTGACCACTTGGATCAGTCTGCGTAGGGTGTGCGGTATTGGTCCTCGTTAAACTGTGCTACCGTAAAGTGCTCGACTTCGCGCGCAGGTCGTCGGGCTACCGAAGCGGGGGTGCCATCCCCTCCGTAGAGGATCAAAATTGTGATGGCATGTCTTCGGATCATCCTCCGGGATGTTTCCCAGACCGTCGCTAATAGTCCATTGTGCAGCTCTAATGCGACGTAAATTAACAACAACAACGTCGAAGCTCTGTCGTCAAGGAAAATGAAAACAAAATAAAATTTAAGTGCCTTACACAGGAAACAATGCGATTATTTTAAACTATATATATAATCTTGCCGTGAAGAATTATCTGGGCTTTAGAACAGATAAATTAAAAAGTTATTTAACTTTTTTTTCAAAAATAGCTAATTTGGCGTCATTTTTCAATATAGATGAAAATTATCAAATTCGCTGCCATATTCTCATACTTACCCTGGTCATTATTGCAAGAAACAGTTAAAGGTACTGTAACATAACAATTATACTAATTCTGTTTCTTTTTTATTCTAGTTGGATGACTTCAGTTATGCTGCCTACCCTAAAATCACTGCCTGGCTAAACAAAATGAAATCAGAAGTTCCAGACTTTAAAGAAATCAACGAAATTCCTCTCAACGAATTCAGGGAAGCTTTAAAATCTAGAAAATAAAGAAATGTTGCACATTTGTCATTTTAAAATACGTTTGTTCCTCCTTGAAGCATAAGTTATTTTCACAGTAATATGATTCATTTGTTTTAATACGAATTTAAATAAATCACTGTTCTGTTAAGTTGTGTTGTTCTGTTTTTTTTATGTTTTCCTCCTTTTTATAAATTATTTTAGTCCATGCTTTCAATTCAATCCAAGGATTGTAAATTGAAGACCCGTGTGAATGATAAGAAGAAGTAAAGAGTATGTATAGCTTTTATTTCTTGTTCTTATTGGCTAAATTCTTTAAATCTTAACATTCATTAAAACTGTTATCTCTCATGGTGTTATAATTTACTGCCAAAACGCATGTTTTCTTAAGGTTATTTGCTTACTGTTTGCTTCCAAATGTACTTGAAACATTCTTTCACTTAAATACCTCCATCCACTGAGAACTCCGAAATTTCATGAGGCGAAATAAGTCAATATTATACTAATAATAAAAGTAAGAGTTTGTCTCATTACTCCAGAACCATTTTTGTTAGACTTCCAAAACTTGGAACAGATTTTAGAATCAGTTTTAACCCCCAATCTTAAAAAATATTGGAAAATTTGAATTTTGATCATAAAAAACGCTTGGTTTGATCATAAAAACCGCTAAAGACACAAAAAAAGGTTAAGTTTATTTTTTGCTGATAGAAATGTCTCAAATCCATGAAAAAATGACCGACATTTTATAATTGAAAGACAATAACAAAGGAAATAAATATTAGTGTTATTAAAATATCTGAGCAATCAAAATGGCATATTTTATGTAAGAAGATAAAATGAATAATAAAATGACAATACACTGAAAATAAAATGAATAAAATGACACATAAGACACTGAAAAATAAAATGACACATCTATGCTTATAAAAAGTAGAGACAAATAAATTTATATTTTAATGACGTTTTTAAGTTACAATAACATTTAGTTGACATCGCTTATTAAATGCATTACATTATGCGAACAATTTCTTATGTGGCAAATCTTGAATACTACTTAAATAGACTCTTTATAGATTATTATATAAATAATTTTAATATTTATTTTAAATATTCAAATAATATTTCAAACATATTGGTATAAATTGGACAGGTCAGCAAAGTAATTTAAATTTAGGTTTCTTTTATTCATTTTAAACTTTTATTTTTTTAATTTATAATATTTCAGAATGCATTTTTAAAGTTTAGTATACTTGAGTAACATTTCTAATTTTTTTCTGTTATGGAAACCTAAATGATCGAACTTCGTTTGATCGAATCCCGACATATTGTGAACACATATTAATCTAAAATAGACTGTTAATTATTTTTAAATTAAATTAAATCAAATCTTTGGTATTATCTCAATATGCGAGCTAATGTGTAGTTACTTTGCGGATCAATAGGTGGCTCTACTATAATATGGCCGACAGGTGTACTTGATCTTAAAAAAATATTAGTGTAGGGTATACCGGGCAGTGGCACTTAACCTTGAAAAAATATACCAGTGTGGGGTATATACCGGGCAAATGTATACTGGGCAGCATCACTCAAAGAGTAAAGCTAAAAAAACAACTATTAGAGAAGCAAATATCTAATACTCAGGTAGATCACATATTGGGATAATAACAAAAATTTTCATCGTTTTATCAATGATAGTCTTAGAACAAGGTTTTATGTCATATAATTTAATTCTTAAAGCATCATTTAGTTCCAATATTTTTTTTTGGCGTATGTATTGAGCTGAATTATAATTTTCTTTTTACTTTGGATTGAAAAGTTCGATTGGAAATGTTAAAGCAGAATTTTTTTCAAACTTTTATAAATGCTTAATCCTTTATATTACTTATTCAATATATGGTATTTTTTGTCCAATATTTAACTTGAACTTTATGAAAACAACCAAAATACTGACCACCCGACGGCAAGATGACATTCACGGTGACAGGGTTGTTTTTATTCATGAATTTATAAATGTTTTAGATTTTGATGTTATGTGCTAAAAATTTGTAAGACAAATTTTGAATGTCGTATTAAATTCAATGTGGATATGGAAACAAAAAGTTAAGATTTCATGAAGAAAAAAAATAATAATAAATGAAATAAGCATTATTTTTATTGTTTTAAAAGTCTCGATACAAGATTATTTTTGGGAAATAGAAAACAGCAATTTCTTATTTATTTGAGAAGCGGTTAATGGCTTTAAACAGTACTTTTATTCTCAAAATTCAAAAATTATGGGGAAGAAATTAAAAAAGGGGTTTTTGTTAACATTAAAATTAGTTTTCCGGGCAAAAAAATTGCTTTTCCAACAATTGTTCTTATGCTTGATTCGGGTGATAAAACTTTCATTTTTTTTATTCAAATATTTTTTTTCTTAAAGTGATTTTTTAAAATACGGAATCGTAAAGTAAATTTTATGGACAAAACTAAAAAAATGTTGAATTATGTTACCCAAAATACAAGATTTGCACGCTTATTAATTATAAAACATTAAAAGCTGTATATTAAATCCGAAAAAAAGCATTAAAATCTATCCATAATTAAAGCAATAATTCCATATTATATTCTGGAACACAAGTTTTTAGTACGAATAATTTTTTTCAACAGTATTATAGTTCAATAATTTTTCGCCCATAATTGTAAAATTGACAATACGTATGAACCATTATGATAAGACAAGATACGATATTTATTACATTCACTCATATTTATGCACTAAAGTGAATGAGATAATAACCATGTTATGATTTAAGAGAAAATCATTCATTTTTTTTAAACCATTTAAATTTTATATTAAACTTTGAAATTTTGTGCAAGATTATAAAACATTGACAACATTTAAATATTGAAAAACAGCATTCGTAAGATTGACAGTTTGTAAAATTTGAAAGACACCAACAACATTTTTCATTATAAAATGATAGAAGTTGTTGGCCCAAGAATTTCTAACATAACTTGGTGGTTGATCATCACAGTACTAAAGCAATATTTTCCATCGTGAGATGATGGAATTTGTTGGTCGAAGAAATTCTTACATAACATGTTGGCAAACCATCATATCGTAAAACATTATCTTCCAACATGAAATGATGGAAGTTTGTTGGCCTATCAAAATCTATTACCACATGACGGTCCACTCAAGAATTTTGTCTTGGGAATGTATGAAAGCATGTGCAGAGTTGGCCAAAAATGTAATCGATTACATTTTTTGATTACAGTAATCTATTACTTGTAATCATGATTGCAATTTTCAAAAATTTTGATTACAGCTGTAATCATGATTACAATATTAATTACAGTAATCAATTACTTGTAATCGTGATTGCAATTTCGATTACAGCTGTAATCACGATTACATAATCGATTACAGTAATCAATTACTTGGAATCGTGATTACAACTTTCAAAAAATTTTGATTACAGATGTAATCATGATTACAATATTGATTACAGTAATCAATTACTTGGAATCTTGATTACAGCTGTAATCAAAATTTCGATTACAACTGTAATCATGATTCCAAGTAATTGCGATTGCAAGTAATCACAACAAAAACCATTACGGGTAATTATGATTACAAGTAATCAAAATATATGATTACATATAATCATGATTACAGGTAATTTGATTACATGTAATCTAAATACACGATTACAAGACTATTGTATTCTTATAAATGATTATATTTTACAGTAGATAGTAGAATGTATTTTATAATGATACATTTTGCACGTATTAACATGTACTGCATTTTGTACGTATTTGTATACGTACAAATGAATGTAACTGAAATGTATGTACATATGATTTTATCTAGTGCATATGTTCAGACATTTTAGTTTCACACACATGTACATACACTTATATTGTAGGTATAAAATATATGTACGTATGTATATAGATAATAATTACGTATGTATGTGCAAACAATGTAGACATGTACATTTATACACAATGAATATATGCATTTTATGCAAATATTTGTGTATGTAAAATGTATATCTATGTTCATGTACGCATGTATATACAAGTACTTGTGTTTGTACGAACATACATACATTGTCTGTACAATGTATGTCCCATGCATGTATGTGCAATTTATTTATGAACAGTACAATATATGTATGCATGTACAATATAGGTATATCTGTAGGATGTACAATATATGTATGTATACATGTACATGATATGCATGTCCAGTGTATTTATGTACATGTACATAATATGTTCATGCTCAATGTAAGTATCCAAATATGCATAATACATTTGTGAACTATTGTACGTACATTGGGCGTATTTATATTTCACATATATTCATACATGCATTCGACATGCATAACGTACGTACATACACACATTTGAGATGCATATATTGTACAGATGTATATACATATAGCGTACAGATGTATATACATATAGCGTACAGATGTATATTCATATAATGTACATATGATGAAATGAACATATAATGTTCATATAATGTACATATGTGTGTACATATACAGTACATATGTGCATAAATATATTGGACATAACTCTTTCGTAAAAATTTTACTTGCGTACATGCATGCTATCCCAATCTATGCATATGGCGCAAATGAGTCCAATTAATGTATCCACACATGCACAATGCACGTATGTTCCATGTATGCATATCCATATGTACTATATATGCATGTACAATGCATGAATGTATGTACATAAATTGTACATACGTACATACATTACACGTATACATATGTACATTACATTTATGTCTAAATATGTGTACAATGCAATAAATAAAATGCATGTAAGTTGACTTATAATGACTCAAGCAAGTTGAATGACAAAATCAAACGATATTTAAATTTTGTTTTCAGCTTTAATTGTTCTTTATCATTTTAAAATTCTTTGAATAAAAAATTATTTTCAGGCATTTTCATTGTTTGACAATACTGAATTTTTTTTTTTATAACATAATGCATGGTTCATAGAAATTTTTTAAATGGCAAAAAAAACGGTACATTTTATGTGTGGAAATAATATTTGGAAATTTAAAATAAGATTATCGTTTGCATTCTAAAATATATGAAGTCGAGTTTTATATGCTTTAAAATAAATTTTAAAGCA